AAAGAGGGAAAGGAGAATCAGAGTTGTGCTGAGATATATAATGACTTCAGGTCTCTTAAATTATACTAACAATATACTAATTTTTAAATTAGTATACTTGTGCATATTTCTGTATTTTTTGAGGAATTCAGATGAATAGATTGATTGCAATTCATATCATATAACAGTAGCACATGAGATATATACGTCACAGTTTCTTCTTTCACATTGGGTATTCACATATAAAATTTATTCAAAGATCAAAATGGAACTATTAAATTTTTAGTTACAATTCTATTCTTGCTGGTTAGGGTGAAGAGGTGTGGGTTTGTTACCTTTTTGCTTTATTGCAAACCATGCAAGTCCTTTTTATATTCCAGGGTCTGAGAATTTCTTATTCTTTTGAGTTTTTCTTTTAAATAAGGAATTGAAGGTTTTAAATAAAATTTTAAGAATACAATTGAATTATTTTGTGTATTGAGATACATGTATACATATATATGTATATGAAAAGTTAATAGATTTTGTGTTATCAAATCTAATAGTCATTTATCATGTATAACCCCCATCCAAAATTTTTATCAACTTAGAAAAATTCTACAGCATCAGTAGTAGAAATAAATCTTTTTCTGTTTTCTTTTCTATATGGCAGGTGTGCTCACCTGAGAGAGTGAAAGACAAAGAAACAGAGGGAACAAAAGTGAAAATCACCCCCCCTCCGGGGGGGGGATGGCCAAACTCCAATACCTTTGTCTCCACTTTCTTCTTGGAATTTTTGGGTACACATATACACATGCCTGGTGTGTGTTTAAAGTTGCTGGGTTCAGGACTTGAATTTGGTCAGCCATGGGGGAGTCCAGCACCCTCTCCACTATGACACCTGTTGGTCCATCAAATTGTGACTTCTATAATACAGATGTCTGAATAATAGGCAGCAGATAATAATTAGGAGGGATCTATTTTGATACATGGAAGAACTTTGAAATAAAATACTTTTTGATTCCACTTAACTAAGGTATCTGAAGTAGTCAAAGTCATAGAGGAAAACAATAGAATGGTGTTTTCCAGGAGATTTGTATAAGGGAGAAACAGAGAGCTGTTTTTCAATGGATATAAAATTACAGTTATTGGGCCACTTGGTCGGTTGGTGATTAATGTGGCTGAATTGGACACGGCAGACTGCAGGTCAAATCCCAGACCTGGTGTCCCAACCCGCAGGACAGTTGAACAGGTTCCCTGGTGGAGGGAGTGAGAGATGGGACAAACACACGCACACACAATACAAGATGCTGATCAAGTCTTCTTCCTCCGTCTTCTTCCGTTTATTGAGGAGAAAATGGCGAGTTATATACAGCTGGTGGGCACCAATTGGTTGCCCGAAATGCAAATGAGATAGAACAGCATGAACCAATCATTGGTGTGGGTGGATCTCTCCTGTTGCCTAGAAACCCAGTCACTTACAGGGAGAATGGTTGGTCACATGATTTCTGAGAAATGGTTTGCTCAGTGAGGAAGTGAAGCCTAATGGTTTCCAAGATGGTGGATAGCTCAAGATGGCAGATAGCTCAAGATGGCTTCTGTATGCAGTGTCTTCCACAACCTGGCACCTTGAAAACATGCCAGGCATGTGTGCATGCATGCCCAACATCCTGAAAGGATTGTGGCATGGCCATTACCTCTGCAGATGATTTCTCACTTTTTCTCTCTCTGTCTCTTTCTCTATCTGGTGAATTAACATGTACTATGGGAAAACTAAAAGAAAAATCCTACTGAAACAACACATTTTATTTCATCAAAATGTAGTATTATAATTTGTCAATAAATAAATTTTTAAAATCCTGAAGAATATGTGATCTATGAGAACAAAGAAGTAAGATATGAAATCCTAACCAGAGATGGCACTATGAAAGCCTGAAGCAGAATAGATCCATGAAAAAATATAGAAAATAAACTTATGACTGCAAAATCTTGACTATGGCATGGCAACTGTGAGAGTTATACTTGTTCATGTGAAATTTGCCACCTCACTTTCCTTTTTTCAGGTAGTCACCTACACCAAATGGAACCAGAGAATGATAGACAAATTTCAGAATTTCTTCTTCTGGGACTTTCAGAGAAAACAGAATTGCAACCCCTAATATTTGAGCTGTTCTTATCCATGTACCTGATCACTGTGTGTGAAATCCTGCTCATCATCCTGGCCACCATCTATGACTCCCTCCTGCACACGCCCATGTACTTCTTCTCCAACCTGTCCTTTGCTGACATCTGTTTCACCTCCACCACCATCCCAAAAATGCTGATGAACATCCAGACACAGAGCAAAGTCTTCACTCATGTAGACTGCTTCATCCAGCTGTACCTTTTCATACTCTTGGCAGAATTGGAAAACTCTTCTTGATTGTGATGGTCTAAGACCATTATGTGGCCATCTGTCACCCCCTGCATTATATGATCATCATGAATCCCTGGCTATGTGGAATTCTGGTACTGGCATCTTGGATCATGAGTGTCCTATTTTTGTTGTTAGATGGCTTAATAGTGTTGGGGCTGTCCTTTGGTACACATGTGGAAATCTCCCAAGTTTGTTCTGAAATTAATTAGGCTATCCATCTTACCTGTTCTGACACCTTTCTTAATTATATGGTGACCTATTTTGCATCTGTGCTGCTGGATGGTGGTCTTCTCACTGGAATAATTTACTCTTAGTCTAAGGTAGTTTCCTCCATACATACAATATCATCATCTCAGGGGAAGAACAAAGCATTTTCAATCTGTGCTTCTCATCTCTTAGTTGTCTTGTTATTTTTATTGCACAGGCCTTGGTGAATACCTTAGTGCTGGTGCTATCCAAGCTCACATTCAAGTGCACCAGCCTCAGTGATGTACACTGTGGTCATACCCATGCTGAATCCCTTCATCTACAGTCTGAGGAATAAAGACAAAAGGAGAGCTCTGAAAATAGTCTTTGAGAGGGAAATTATGAAAGGGTCTATTGGCCTGGAGTTGATGGAATGCTCCTGATTGCAGGGTTCAAAGGCTTGGAGCCAAAAATTGTAATTCTCTGATCATATTGGGAATGTAGAACTGATTCTTGTTGTCTACACAAGTGAAGTAACATTCTATCTAGCTTTCCATATTCTCCCATATCCAGCAAAAATTTTTTTTGACATTTTTCTAGTTTCTCAAAGTTATTCCCGGCCTTGTATCAGAAATACTTTAAAATTTCTATTATATCATAGGACAATATGCAACTTTTTTTTGGGGGGGGGGGGAGGATTTTGCTATAGGGACCGTGGGCTCACCAGAAAGAAGACAGAGAGAGACAGAGAGACAGAAAACAAGAAATTACCCCCCTCAGGTGGGATGGCCACGCCTTAATCCTCTATGCTCCTCTTGGGATCTTAGGCATGCATGCACACACACCTAGCATGAGTTTAAGTCACCATGTCCAGGACTCAAACCATGGTTAACTATATGGGGGTCCAGTGATGTAGCCATTACACCATCTGCTGGTCCCAGCAACATGCAACTCTTAAGAATAATTTGTTTTCAAATGACATATATCATTTCGAGTAATTTTAGTATTGTGTTACTAAAAGAACTTTTTTTGGTTTGTGATGCACCTATGGAAAAAGAGAAAAACAGCAAGTAAAAACAACTAGAAAACAAAAAAAAGAACACATTACATTTGGCAGCTAATGTCATTAATGTAATTGATAGTACAGAAAAACCAGAAACCGCAGATTTTAATGCATGTGTCTGTCTTTGCTTCTAGTATCTTTATCTAAAATGCAGACTTTAATGTAATAGTGTGTTTGATTACCTATAATAAGCTAATTAGAATCTTGTTCTGTTATTCAGCACAGAGATCACATTGCCTACTATAATCACTATCAGAAATAGATGATCAGGCTCAGACTCTGTGATGCAACCATAACATACTAGACTACAGAACTGGAAGCCACGTGTGGACCATGGTTCAAGTTCTGAATCTGGTCGGCCTAAAATATCACTGGATGGGTGTGTGCCTAGGATCCTGGAGGTCTGAAGAACTGGAGGAAGAGAGTGTCAGCCTGACCATGATCTTTAGAGGCTACTTCTCTCTTTTTATGTCTCTCTGTCTGTCCCCTCTTGCCCTCTCTTGCTTTCTATCCTCATGCACACCAACACATTCTGTTAAGAATAAAACAAATTTTGGGACCAGCAGTTAGCGTAATGGCTATGTCACTGGACTCCCATGGAGTCAACTGCGGTTCGCGTCCTGGACCCGGTGGCTTAAAACTCATGCTGGACGTGTGCATGCGTGCCCAAGATCCTGAGAGGAGAATGGAGGAGAAGGGATTGCAGCGTGACCATCCCCCCAGGGGGTGTTTTCTCACTTTCTGTCTCTCTGTCTCTCTCTGTCTGTCTGGCGAGCGCACACACCCTATAGCAAAAACCTCTCAAAAAAAAGAAGAAGAAGAAGAAAACAAATTTTAATAGTTACCTGAGTCAAAATTTCTTGTATATGGACGTCAAATTTAAACATATTGTTGAACAAATATGGTCTTAGAGTCAGAGATAGACTTAAACATGATGAAGAGCATTCCAATCATATATTGTATTAACTATGCACCATTTTTCTTGTTCATTCTGTTCATCTACTTGTTGAAGTATGTAAAACTGATGTCCATGTGGAAGAGTGCTTATTCATTGGGGTAAAGGATTGACTGATGTGTTTTATGCTGTTTCATTAAATATCTTCCTGTTTTTTTCTTGAATACTTTAATGCTGACTGTAACTACAACTTCATGGAATGCTTAAAATGAATGACCTCCCTCTCTTTAAAATAGTCATAATCACTGAAGGGACATTGAATGTACAAGTATCAATATCATCCAAAACACATGTGTTTTTTTTGTGCTTAAGAATCTCTTTGAAATTTATGAACAAAGAGTTTGAATAGCTATCCCAGTTGTTTGATTCAGGGTCACAAGTTTCCTATAAAAACATTTATGTTCTTTGGATTTCTCCTAATTAACCTAAGAGAACATCAATGCAGTCACTTTTTCTAATTTTAATTTCCATTTATTTATTTATTCATTTGTTTTAGTTTTGCCATAGGGTATGTACACTTACCAGAGAGAGACAGAGAGAAACAGAGGGAAAGTGAGGAATCACTCCACAGAGGAAATGACCACACTACATTCACTTCTTCTCCAGTCTCCTCTCAGGCGTCTGGACACATGCACAAACACGCAGTGTGATTTATGAAGCCAGCGGATCTGGCACTAGATCTGTGGATTCAGCCATGTGGGATCCAGCACATTAAGCACCACACCACCTGATGACCCATGACAATTAAATTTTAATTCATAATTTGTGAAAGGTGCTAGTGACTTTTGGAGTCAGGAGAGTTCACAGAGAACATGTAGTAAAGATAAATTCATCACACTTTCAACTTGGTCTCTTTTTTTTTTTTTTGAGAAGTTTTTTCACTATAGGGCACGTGCGCTCACTGGACAGACAGAAAGTGAGAAATCACCCCTCAGGGGGGATGGCTATGCCACAATCCCTTCTCCATTCTTCTCTCGGGATCTTGGGCACGCACGCACACGCGCCCGGTGTGAGTTTTAAGCCACCGGTCCGGGATGCAAACTGCGGTCGACCACGTGGGAGTCCAGCGACATAGCCATTACGCTAACTGCTGGTTCCCTCAACTTGGTCTCTTGAGAACAGCAAATCAACACAAACATTTTACTTCTTCCCAGACCAGTGTCCGTGAGGGAAATCAGCTATCAGAAGCTGATCAACGGGTCTGGGGAGAAATGTGCACATATCGAAATGGTCTCATTGTAAACCAAACAATATGATTGAAAGTATATACAAAAAAAGAAAATAAATAAAAAAAGAAAAAAAAAAGAAGTTGTAGTTATAAGGAGGAAATGTATCCAAAGGAGAAATATAGGGAGCAGTAAATATTTCACCTGTCATTGTTCCCAAAGGAGTACAGCCTTGGGCTCGATAAGACATGGTAGATTTTTCTGGAATGTCCAGATTGGCTAAGGCACCTGCTTTATTCTTTTAAAAAATTCTTTATTATTATTATTCATACATTCAATTGACACACATCATTTAGATTGTAAAGAGACTTTAGCAAGCATGATATACACCTCAGTCCAGCCCAGTTGAGAATATTATACACATCCTTGTCAATAGATAATAACCCATATCTGTGTCCCACAAGTGTCTTACCTCTCTACTTTTTCTCCAAATTTCCTTTCTATGCTCTTCCCCTCCCACACACTCTTTTTTTTTACTCTTTCCACTTTGTCTCTAATGTCCATTACAGTTATTAATGCTTTTATGTCCTCTAGTCTTTCAATCTCTACCATAGTGTGGAGAGAGTAGGTATATGTTAAGTGGAGACACACAATGTCTCACTTTCATAGTCTGACTTGCTTCACTCAGCAACAAGTCTTCCATATTCATCCACTTTGTATCAAATTCCAGGGTCTTATATTTTTATGGCTGAATAGTATTCCATGGAGTATATGTGCCACAATTTTTTAATCCATTAATGTTTGTGGGTATTTGGGTTGGCTCCATGTATTAACAATTGTGAATAATGCTACAATAAGTACAGTACAATAAGTATATTGTGGTTTTGATCTGCATCTCCCTTACTATGAATGATGTGCATTTATTCATATGATTTTTGGCTGTTCCTTAGAGAGTTGTTTATTTAGCTCATTTTCCCATCTTTTAAGTGGATTAATCATTTTTTTTCCAAGAAAGACGCTAGAATTTTCTGTATATTCTGGTTATCAGTTCCTTATCTGAGGCACAGTTAACAAAAATTCTCTCCCATTCAGATAGTTGTTGATTCACACGAATTATCTTGTTCTTTGTTGTGTAGCAACTTCTTAATCTGATATAATCCCTCCTGTTTATTTGGGGATTATTGCCTATGCTTTGGGGGACTTACTTAAGAAGTCTTTGCCTACCTCAATGTCTCCCAGAGTTTCTCCAGTGTTTTTCACCAAAAGTTTTATAGTTTGCAGTCTTAAGTTTAGATCTTTGATCCACTTTGAGTTGATTTTTGTTAATGGTAACAGATAGGGGTTCAGATTCATCTTTCTGTAGGTGGATACCCAGTTTCTCCAGTGCCATTTGCTAAAGAGGTTTCCCTTTTATCTCTGTATTCATTGGCACCCTCTGCCAAAGATGAGTTGGCAATATGGTTTGGGATTTATTTCTGGGATCTCCACTCTGTTCCATCAGTCTTCATGTCTGTTTTTGTGCCAATACCATGATGTTTTGATTATCACAGATTTGTATTAATTTTGAGGTCAGGAAGTGAGATGCCTCTTACTCCAGTCTTCTTGCAAAGGATGGCTTTAGGAAAATGAGATCTTTCATGGTTCCAGACAAATTCTATGATTTTCTTTTCTAGATGTGAAGAATGTCTCTTGTAATTTTATAGGGGCTGCATTAAATATGTAGATTAATTTGGGTAGGATTGCCACTTTGAATATATTAATTCTCCCAATCCAGGATCATGGGATGTCCTTTCACTTTTTAGTGTCCTTTTCAATTTCCTTTTTAAGGTTTTCATAGTTTTCCTTGTAGCAGTCTTTTATTTCCTTAGTTAGTTTTATTCCTAAATATCTTATACTTCTGTGGCTATGGTAAATGGGGTTACTTTGTTCAGTTCTGTCTCTGTATGCTTGTTGTTTGTATATAGAAATGTTATATATTTTTGAAGTTAACTTTGTATCCTGTCACTTTACTGTATGCATTTATTACTTTGAGAAGTTTTTTCATGGATACTGTCTGGCTTTCTATGTACACAATCATGTCATCTGCAAACAAAGATAATTTCAGTTTTTCTTTCC